TTACAGGCTGAGCCACCAAGCCCAGTCAAAACCCTATCTTTAAAAAAAAAAGGCCAGGCTCGGTGGTTAAGCCTGTAATCCTAGCACTTTGGGAGACCAAAGCAAGTGGATTGCCTGAGCCCATTGGTTCGAGACCAGCCCAGAAAACTTGGCCAGACCTCTGTCTCTACAATAAATCAAAAAAGATAATTAGTCGGGCATGGTAGTGTGCGCCTATAGTTCCGGCTACTTGGAAAGCTAAGGCGAAAAGATCGCTGGAACCCAGTAGGTCGATGCTGGGGTGGCCATGAGTATGCCACTGCACTCCAGCCTGGGCGTCGATGAGAGTCCAACTCAAAAACAAAAAACAACAACAAAAAAAAGGGCTCAGTGGCTCAGCCTGTAATCCTAGCACTTTGGGAGGCCGAGGTGAGTGGATTGCCTGAGCCTGTGGGTTCGAGACCCGCCTGGGCAACTTGATGAGACCTCATCTCTACAACAAATCAAAAATTAGCCGGGCGTGGTAGCGCGTGCCTGTAGTTCCTGCTACTTGGAAGGCTGAGGCGGAAGGATCACCGGAGCCCAGCAGGTCGAGGCTGCGGTGGCCGGGAGCGGTCATTGCACTCCAGTCTGGGTGACAGAGTGAGACTCCAACTCAAAATAAATAAATAAATAAATGTATAATTATAAACAGAGATATGTTCTTAGAAGGAAAAGATTACAACTTCAGAAAAAAAGTACATGTAAAGAACAGGAATCAGAGTGTGAATCTTCCCTGAGGAAATGATAACCCAGCTGGGATCTCTAACATGAACAGAGTTAACTGCAGAAAGACAGTAGACAGTATCAGGTGCAGTAGCTCACACCTTAATCCTAGCACTTTGAGGGGCCAAGGCAGGAGAATTTCTTGAGGCCAGGAGTTCGAGGTCAGCCCGGGCAACAAAACAAGATCCCATCTCTACACTAAAAAAATAAAATTGAGTTTGTCATGGTGGTGTACACCTATAGTCCCAGCTACTTGAGAGAAGAGGCTGAGGTGAGAGGACCTCTTGAGCCCAGGAGTTGGAGGTTGCAATGAGCTATGATCATACCACAGCACTCCAGCCTGGGCAACAGAGCATAACCTGTCTCTATTTAAAAAAAAAAAAAAAAAGGTGGTCAGTGAATTTCAGACACAGGCATGACATATGTGGAATCCAGGGTGGGGGGATGCAAGGAGGATGGAGACAGGCTGGCAGTGGGGATGGTGCTGGCCTCGATGACCAAAGACGGAGAGGAGAAAAGAGAGGAGCCCGGGGTGGAAAGCAGCTTCCTAGCCGGTCAGAAGCAGAGCAGACATGTCAGACTGTTCTTCCCAACGTGACAGGCAAAGTGCAGATTTTAAGGATAACTGATACAAAGAGAAAGACTCAAGGAGGGTCTAGCACCTTCCCCAGACCGGGGCACCAGGGCCTCGAGCACAGCTTCTACCAACAGCCAAGTCACAAAGGGCACAGCAGCCTCAACCCTCTCGGAGCCCCTGGACGAGGAAGGGGTCTAAGTGCCCACCTGCAGGAACAGGAATCATCACTCGCTTCTTCTGCTTGGCCTGTCCTGCACCTCTGCAGACCACACAGGGAGTCGTGATGATGGAGCCACGGCCACCACATCTCCGACAAGTGGAACGCATCACAAATGGGCCCGTATTAATGGTTTCCTGATGAAAAGAAGAAAAGTTGTCAAACGGTACCCTTGAGTATGCAGGTAAACTGATGGTCATGGTTCCAGGACCACAATCTGCATGGCCAAAATGTTTTTTTTTTTCATTGTCACCCTAGTAAATGAAGAGGAAAATGTTTCTTTAAGGTTTGTTTTTGACGTGCAAATCCACTAAAACATACTGCCTAGGCAAAGAGGTGGAGGGACTCAAACTGCTAATCTGATTTCCAAAAACATTCTGTACTGAACTGTATATCAACAAGCTGACTATGAGACTGAAAAGTAAGATACTGCCTCTCTACAGAAGTACCTGAAAGTCCCTGGCAGTTGGGCAATATATTTAAGAAAGAGTATTTCCCTTCTAATTACAAAAGCAGCAGTTAAAAAAATAAAGAAGAAAGTGACAAATGGATGCAATCCCCCTGAAGCTGCTGTGCTCTGGACTCTGAGCCTAACTCCAGGGAAGGAGGATCACAGGCCTCTGTACCCTCAGGGCCACACAGAAGACAGAGCTGGGCTGAATTCACCGATTCCCCCACCCTCGGCACACATACCCCAAGAGCAATGACACAAGCAGCTCTTCTCGCAGTCACCAGTGCCCTGGACTGTACCCCCTTGCCCACAATTCCCAAGATCCCTAACTCTGTCCCTCCTGAGCAACTGGTCAAGGGCCTCAAAATACAGCTTTAGTTCAAAGGGACTCAAGAAAGCCTCATGGTGGGGGCAGCTCCGAAGAAATCAGATGTAAACAAGACCTGATAGAGAATAACTGTGGGTTAAGTGCACAGGGATTGCGTTCAAGCTGATGATGTGGACAAAGCTCATGTAAATCTATCCTCCCACACTCCTCCTGCAATATCTCCTCCCTTATCCCCCCATCTAACCCACCCCTGCCACATATCAGGAGCCTCCTCATCTCTCTGCCATGCCCAGAACTGGTGAGCCCTTATGATTTGTGGTCACTCTTATCAACTATCACTGATAAATGGAAATTGGTTATCTTTTAATTTAACTTCTTTGGATTTTTTTTTTTTTTTGGTAAATTATCAAATACATGCTTGTATCTGATAATGGTACATCAAAAAATACAGAGTTATGTAAAGAAAATGTTACTGAGGCCAGGTGCAATCACTCACACCTGTAATCCTTGCACTTTGGAAGACCTAGGCAGGAGGATGGTTTGAGTCCAAGAGCTGGACACCAGCCTGGGCAACACAATGAGACCTCATTTCTACAAAAAAATTTTAAAACACTAGTTGGGTGCAGTGGTATGTGTCTGTAGTCCCAGCTACTCAGGAGCATGAAGGAGGATCACTGGAGCCCAGAAGTTTGAGGGTGCAGTGAGCCATTAATCATGCCACTGCTTTCCAGTCTAGGCAACAGAGTGAGACCTCAAACCCATCCCCCAAAAAAGAATACGAGTATGTGTGTCTATACGCGCGTGCACGCACACATGCACACGCACACACATATTATTTTCCTAGTTCAGTCTCCTGAAAGGGCTTAGAAGCAGTGAACATACCTGGTGTACAGATTTTGGGTTCTAATCCTGTTAGACACTTATAGGAACTAGAGCTCTGTGGTAAATGGTTGATTCCAAGACTGTGGCAGGGAAAATACAGATGAGCCTAGAACACCTTGCTGAGATAAAAAGTAGGGAAGTACTAAAAGTATGATAAGAACTTGCCATAACACACAGAAGCCAGCTGAAAGGGACTTCCATAGGCCAAATCTGGGGTAATCTGAGCATCAAAGTAAGGATACTGATTATAATCCAATTACTAAAATAAGAATCCATGAGTTCATTCTGATCCAAATAAATCATCCAGAGAGAGTTCTTCCTTTCAGCAGAATGCCAACTAATAAATGTAAACGAGATGCTGGAATGAGAATATCACCATTTTACAACCATCATGGTAATATGTGATTAAATGATTTAAGTGAAAATAATGATGCTAAAACTAGTGAGTAAAAGTTTGATGAGGAATAGGATATTTATATATTCTCAAGGTACCTTACCAAAACTTGCTAATTTCTATTTTTTGAGTCAGAGTCTCACTCTGTTGCCCAGGCTAGAGTGCTCATGACCACTGCAGCTTTGACCTGCTGGGCTCAGGTGATCCTTCCACCTCAGACTTCCAAGTAGCTGGAACCACAGGTGCATGCCACCATGCTCGGCTAATTTTTTTATTTATTGTGGAGATGATAAACCAAGTTGCCCAGGTTGGTCTCAAACCCCTGAACACAGGCAATCCTCTCGCCTCGGCCTCCCAATGTGCTGGGATTACAGGCATGAGCCACTGTGGCCAGCCAAAACGTGTTCATTTCAAAGGGAAAAATAATAACTTTATAGTAAAGAAAGCTGGTGGACACTCACTTAACAAAATAATTATCATATAACATCATCATCATAACATAACACCATCAATAACGGAACAAACTGACATCTTGTGACTCCTGTTATAATCTACTGAAAAGGATATAATATCAGCTCTGTGGTATTTCCACCAAAATGCATAATCTTAATCTTATTATGAACACAAATTGAGGGATATTCTATAAAATAACTGGCCTTGAATTTTCAAAACTATCAGAGTCATAAAAGAAAAAGAAAACTGAGAAATGGTTCCATATCAAAGGAAACTAAAGATATGACAGCCACATGCAACACATGATCCCACAATGGATCCTGAACTGAGGTGAAGGAGGAGGAAGAAAAGAAAAATTGAAAAAAAATTTGAATATACATAGATAATGGTATTGTACTGCACCAACATTAAATTTTCCGATTTTGAAAATGATACTGTGGTTACATAAAAAAGTGTTTTTGTTCTTTAAAAGTACACACTGAAGTACTCAGGAATAAAAAGATACAATGTTTCTCCAAGGCAACTTACTCTCCAATGGTGGGAGGGAGTATGTAACACAAAGAGAAACACAGAGTTTACATATGGGGGAGGGGAAGAGAGAGG